TTTCCGGAATTCAACCTGTTGGAGGTTTCGCGAATTCAGGAGTTCTCCTCAACCTACAGAAGCTATCCACAAATATGGACAAGAATCGAGGCTCTGGGTGCAGAGAAGGCAGACGCTAATCAGGTGAGCGTCACACATTGATTTCTTTGTTTCCTTTATTACTCAGTAAACTGTGTGATAATTGAGATGTTACATTAACTAATACACCAACTACAATGCGTAACCTATAAAACAGAGGCGGACGAGCAATGATCTTGTGATCAATTCTCCAGGTTGTAAATAGTGTAGAGATAAAAGATTTCGAAGAGCCTTATGAAATCAACATTTTTTTTTACTTCTAAGCTCTGCAGACTCCAATGCAATATGTCGAGCATATTCGGGGAAATGGGTTTCCCTTATCATTACCGGGAGTGATAAGGCTTCCACCAGTTGTTGAAGCGAGCAAGTGACAAGGCTGGTATCATATCCTTCGTATCACCCGTTTTCACCAACTGTTGTTGCATGCAGTAACAAATCACTACTGTTCAGTGATTTCTTACTGCATACAACCGTATTTTCCAAGCCGTATTTCTTTATGATCACAAGCGCGCTTGAGAAACTCCAATTGGTCTCCAGTGTTAAGAACGCTATCGGGAGTCCATCATCGCAGGAATGCGTTGATGATTTTCCGTTACAGTTTCATTTTCCCTTGGAAAGCTATGGGATAATAAGTGTTCTCAATAATGTAGTGCTCTTCTTGACCAGACAATAATTGATCGCGAAGGATATAGCCATTCACCAAGCTTGCGTAGGGCGCCTTCAAGAATGTTTCGTTGGTCACCAATACTCGATCAGTCAATTCTCAAGGGGGATCTGACCCTCTCGCTTGAGCACTGTGTTTCACTACACGACTAGATGACTTTTTAAACCCGTACCCGTTTCCATTTGCATCGGAACTTTGTGCCGACAATTTGATGATGCAAGCTACATAGGAAAGTCATATACGACGGACTGATCGATATTGGTGACCAAAGGAATAGTCTTGAAGGCGCGCACCGTAAGCACCGCTCAGTGGGTGGCATTATCCTTCGTGATCAATTATTGCCTAGTCAGGAACACTACATTATTGAAAACCCTTGTTATGCATTATACGCTTCAGAGGAACTTGAAACTTCAACGGGAGATCATTAACGGTTTATGGGAATGGCCCTCTGAATACGACGAACCAGTTGATTCGTCAGGCCTTATTTATTGATAAGGATTCCACCTAACAAATTCGTGAGGCAGAGAAGATTCAATTCACCTGCGGTTAACATGCGAAACTCATGTTCAGTTTGGGTAACATGCACAAGTGGCAGGTAACATTTGCAAGAGAGTGTCTTTTGCTGAACAATGTTTCTAGGCTGTGAATTGTGATAAGCGCCAAAACAGCCTTACAGGCAAAGGATTTTGGACTGATTTTCAATACTTTGGCAGCAATCTGGCCACTTATAATAGTTTGGAGTAGTACCGGCTCGAATAGACACTGCCTTAATGGGATCAAGGGAGAGGGAGTACCATTATCTTTTGCTATCGTCGGTTCTGCAAGGTGCTCAGAAGTAGCGCATGATGGGAAGAGTTAGGGTCCGTGGCAGCAAGCGCTGGCCCTTACTCAAAAATAGCAAGAGGTGATTAATTCTTCTGTGCCTCACGAGCTTGTTAGGTGGAGCCTTTATTGTAAATAGGGCCTAACGTTTCGACGAAATCGCCGTCTTCAGAAGTCTCTCTGCAGCTAACCATCATCATCCTAGCATGAAATATTTCGAAAAGTCCAAGTGGAAAGCTATAGATTCCAAGGTTGAATGCCTCGCCTCATTTCACGGACTCCCTCCGCCATATGCTCAGACGAGGCTCGAATGGTCGGAAAACGTGAATCAAATCTTACTCATGAGGTTCCTGGCTGTTGCTTTTGTTTTATTTGCACCGACGAAAACCAGCACCACTTGCTCTCCTAAGTGCAACGTTCTTGTCGTCTTTCCAAGAACTCCAACAGCGATCAAGAGGACGCCGCGGTATCTGTCAAGAACCCATAAGAAAATTCGCTGGGCTAGTCAGGCGCTGGACGACCCTTGGAGCTATTGCCGACAGATTTTCGCAGTGGCAGATGAGCTTCATGGTGAGTTCCATGAAGCGAGATAAGTAACTAGCGAAAAAAACGATCCAGTAGAATAAACAGTTCTTCCTGGCAGGGCAAACAGAAACATTGTCAAGAATTCTCGAAGAAAAACCGTTCGAGAGAAAACAGGTAGCAGCCCGAACTTCCGACTATTTTTCCAATGTACTATCAAAAATCAGAGTAATGATGAGCTTAGAGTTCAGCAGATTTTTTTCTTTTCAGCTCACCGTTGCAATAGCCCAGCCGGAAGACAGCGGCTTGTTGCACTGCATTCTGCCGAGTGGCAAACGAAGTACGATCAGAATGAGGGTCGAGGGTACGCCTACTCATTAGAAAGAATATACTACTGTCTCAGCCAGCTCACGTCTATCAGTTCAGAGCGATTCTGTCCTCCACAACGCAATTCGTCTCATCTTTCCGTCTACCTCACTCGACGTAATCTTTTCATCGGCACTGTGGCTCAGTTTTCCTGTCCAGTCGGCTTCAAACCAGACGGCTATACAACATCTGTTTGTGAAGATGACGGTACTTGGAGTCATTCGCCCCCAAAGTGTCATGGTGAGTTCTACACCGCTTGCTTAATCTGAAAAAATACCTTGTCTTGCTTCAAGTGTATTTTGGCTCGCCGTCTACGAACGTCTTTGAGATGAGCTGTGAAGTTTCACACGCTTGAGGAAGATAGATGTTGCTGATCGCTACCGCACCCCACGCTAGGCAGATCTCAGTCTCCTTCTCCACTGAGCCCTACTAAATGCACAGCACTCTTTTTTAAGTGATTTTCTACTTCCATTACGGCTTATGGTTCTTTTTTTGACTGGAATCGCTGTATTCGATGTTCATATTTCTGGTACCTGCTATGTTGCGTTATCGAACCACCTGTCTGGGCGTTTGGTGGTGCATGAATGTGCCATTTTGACGATGCGACTCAGGTCAGGCAGGATCAACGCATGATCAACACATCGACCAAGTTGTCGGGGACGAATTGCATTGAATGAATCGCAGGACTACTGTAGCATGGGTCTTTGCAGTATTTACATTTCACGAGTGCGATATCTGATTCTGATTCGGATTTGCTCTGGTCTGATAGCGTAGCATGTCTACACGCAACGCCATCGCACCTCATCTTCTTAAGAATGTTTGCATTTCTTGAACTTGACGAGTGGAGGACGGAATTGGTTCTCCACTCGTCAAGTTCGACAAGCGACGTCTCCCTCACAAACCGCTCGCAGATGAAACGAAATTTATTAAAGATGAGGGTATCACCCCATATATATAATTCGCTTTGTCTGTATCACCCCATATATATAATTCGCTTCGTCTGTTTGTTTGTTTGTTTGTTTGTTTGTTTGTTTGTAAGTTTGTAAGTTTGTCTGTCCGGAAATTCGGTTCGACCTGAAGAACGACTTGGAGAGGTCGGTCAAGGTGGGGATGGGTAGGGCATGGGACAAGAAATAAAAAGCACACTTGACCTATGGGAAGCCCCGCCCACAGTGGGCGGGGCACTCCCGAAAGTTTGGGGTTCCGCACAAAAATGTTCATAATTCGCTTCCGGGGCAGCCTAAAGATGGGGAAGCAAAATTCAGTAACCCGGTTCGCGAGTGTTTGGAAGTCACAAAAAAACTCAGTGTAGAATGTGAATATCCAGCGAATATACAGGGGGGCCAAAAAAAAGTCATTCCGGCCGAGTCACATATGAGCGAAGTTTTCGCAGCCCAGACAGAGGAAGTGGATATGAGTACCAGGGCGGAAGATACCCAAGATCTTCCTCTATAAGCAGGAGCCGGCTGCCGCCATTCACCTTCATGTACACCAAAATATGAAGTCATCTCCAGTCGCGGCCTGAGTGGAGAACGCCTTTGGAATTCACGTGGCCTCCAAACAGCTGCGGAACTTCTTGAATGGAATCACCCATGGATAGCTACCTGGAGACCAGTACTCTTGATCTGCAAGACCTCAAACATCGAGCAGCTCCGGCAACGTCGCTACGGTCCAGGACATCATCTTCACCCCATTCACCAAGGCGCGGGTTGATGGTGTGGACCGGCCGTACCTGGAATGGGAAGACCGATATTTTCTCCCCGACTGAAGGTGAGCGCTGGCGGTTACATCAAGTAACTCGAGAAGGATATCCTCCCTACATGTGGTCGCCCGTACCTTCTTGGAGACCTTGTGCTGCTACAGGTTTGGGTGCCACCACATGGAATCGAAGGGTTTTGGAAAAACTCCCGCCTACTTCGAATGGAAGGGCGTTTCGTACCTGAAGAAGATGTAATATTGAAGTATGTCCCCTGACCTGAGTTCAAGGGTGGTCTACGGTGGCGGAGAAATCGACTATCTCGCTGATCTCAGGCACCACATCGCGGTCGCGTGCCAGAATCTCTCGATGGCGCTCCTCCAGAAGGCTGTGGCGGAGTATCATTATAGTATTTAATGTGCTCTTTAATATGGTAGTAAAAATGTCCGATAAAAATTTAATAAAGTGTAACTTATAGCGCCTTGAAAGTCATGGAGGCAAAATGACTTTTTTTTGGCCCCCTGTAGGGCACTCTCAAAGTGTGTTGAGACCCGCCCACAGTGGGCGGAGCTTGCCCTAAATCGCAGGGTATTCATTTTAAAAGTTTGTAGCTCGGTTCCAGAACACTCCACACCGGAAAAAAGTGGACTAAGGTCAGCAGAGGGTCGCCGGTGAGGATTGTGGGGCAAAAACATTGTGGGCGGAGCCTGCTCCGAGGTGGGCGGAGCCAGACAAAAAGTCCTTCAAAGATCGGAAAAAAAACGTGGATTAAGGTCAGCAGAGGGTCGTCGGGGTGAGGATTGTGGGGCAAAAACATTGTGGGCGGAGCCTGCTCCGAGGTGGGCGGAGTCAGACAAAAGATCTGTAAAACGGTTCCAGAGCACTCCGAAGACCGGAAAAAGTGGATTAAGGTCAGCAGAGGGTCGCCGGTGAGGATTGTGGGGCAAAAACATTGTGGGCGGAGCCTGCTCCGAGGTGGGCGGAGCCAGACAAAAGGTCTGTAAAACGGTTCCAGAGCACTCCGAAGACCGGAAAAAGTGGACTAAGGTCAGGTCAGCAGAGGGTCGGATTGGGGTAGACATATTGTGGGCGGGGCCAGCCCGAGGTGGGCGGAGCCAGACGAAAATTCTCTAAAACTGTCCCAGAGCACTTCAAAGACCGGAAAAAAGTGGAGTACAGAACAAAAGGGGGATATCAGTTGAATCTAGAAATATGTGAAAGAAAGCACGCGCGGCGAAGCCGCGCCCCCGGCGCAGCCGGGCCGTATCAGAAGGAGCCGCGCCGGCGTCAGCCGGCGAGGCGACTGCTGTTCAAAGAATGTGCCAATGTCGGTCGACATGATATCGAGCGTGGAGGTATACTCGAAATCCCTGAGATCGGGTAGGCGTGGCCGCATGTTTCAACTTAACCTGAAGGTGTCTATGCTTCTGGTGAGATATTTTCATCTTGACACAATTGTTGTCGTGTCTCTGTCCAACACAGAACAAGATGACAGTTGTCCCAGACTGGAATATTCCACGAGTAACCAGTTCCGTGCCATGTTCAAATGCCACGCCTACTCTGGCTCAGGGATAAGGGGTGTACACTAACCCTGTTGGACCGTAGTAAAACAAATGTCTCGAACAGCGTTCTGGTGCTTCCCTTCTATCGGCCAGTTACTAGAGTGTTCTCGCTAGTTCTGATGACAGCTAGATAAGCTTAGTTGAAAAGAAATAGGCGAGATATACATACCACCAGTCGGATCGGCCGGCTTCGCCGGCCGATCCTCCTTCCGCGTGTGAAGTGGGTCCCTGTGAGAAGTTTTCCATGTGAGGAAGGGCCAGTCGGATCGATATCGCTTTCCACATTTTCCGCCCTCTGGGCTTGTTTGAAGTACGAACTTTTGAAATTTTTGTAGCAAGCCCCGTCCACCTATAGCCCAATTGGGATGTGCCTTCTTCACTTAATTCGCCAGCTGACTCCCTATCGTTTCCCCCATTTTTCTCTCTCCATGCTCATTTGGAACAGAATTACGAATTTTCAGAGGTTTTATAGCAAGCCCCGCTCACCTATAGCACCCCCACCCAATCAGGGTGTGCCTCCTTCAGTTCATCCGCCAACTGATTCCTATCGTTCCTCACATTTTCCACTCTCCGGACTTATTTGAACTGAATTACGAATTTTTGAAATTTTTGTGGCAAGCCGGTCCACCTATAGCCCAATTGAGGTGTGCCTCCTTCAGTTCATCGCCGTCCGATTTTCTATCTCACATTTTTCGCTCTCCGGGCTCATTTGGAACTGAATTACGAATTTTTGAAATTTTTGTAGCAAGCCCCGCCCATCTATAGCACGCCCCGCCCAATTAGGGTGTGCCTGGTTCAGTTCATCCGCCAAATAATTCCCTATTCTTTCCCGCATTTGAGTTATTTAGATCCGAGTTACGAATTTTCAAAATAAAATTCCACTGGCTAAGGGCACGCCCCGCCCATAGTGGGCGGGGCTTAGCTCAGTTCATGCGTGTTCCGTACATCTTGGCCCATGCCCTACTCATCACACCCCTGACCCGCCCCTTCAAGTGGCTCTTCAGGTGATTCCGAATTTCCGGACAGACAGACAAACAGACAAACGTACAGACGTTGCCGTTTATATATATAGTAGTGACTACTTGCTTGCCACTACTTGTACCTTTACTTTCTTCCTTTTCGCATTTTCAAATTATGTGAGGTATTGGAGGACACACCAAAATATCAAGAAAGTTAGGACGGAAGCTCATAATCTCTGCAATTTCTCAGTGTTATCCGTTTTCTGGCCTCCAATTTCTGAGCCTAGACGAGGACATAGATACCAGCGTTCACAGCAATTGTCCGTTCTATATTTACTTTTTCCTACTAATGGGAAGAAAAGAAAACGTTCAGATAAATTGCCCTGCACTTACTAACTTGCCTAATGCATGTGAATTCATTCGATTATGCCGAGTTGAAACGTCACCGTTACTCTTATTAACGAACATGAAAGATTCATACTAGAAGAATGCATACGTTTCTTACTATTAGGTTGTCCGGAAAGGAATGCGCGTTCGAGCTTAAAAAATTTTTTATTATAAAAACGAAATTAAACAAGATAAATTCAAAAGACAATCTCCATTAGTATCAATGACTTGTTGTCAACATTTATGCAAAAAATGGATTCCTCTTCTGAAGAACTCGACCGGCTGCGACTCAAAGAAGTTGGACACCCAGAGTTGGACCTTTTTCGCGGTTTGTGAATTTTCTCTCGGCCAGGGAGTTCTGCATCGGAACAGATGGTAATCGATGGTGCCAGGTCTGATCTGTGTGGCGGATGAGGCAGGACTTTCCAGCCCAATTCCTCAATTTTTTTCTAGAGTGATTTTCGCCACATGTGGATGAGCGTTGTCGTGGATAAATTTTGTCGACGTCGTTTCGACACTTTGAAGACGCAGTGCTGGATCCATGCGGTTCAATTGGTGTTTGCAGATGTCCGCCGTAACCGTCTGACCCGATTCCGGAACTTCAAAGTACATCAAACCTTTGCTATTCCACCAAACACGGAGCATCACCTTTTTGCCGCGTATAT